GGAGTGTTTCAAGAGGGGGGGATGTAGCATTTCATGTCCAATAGTTGATTTGACTCAATCCCATCATGAAGTCCATGTAGCACACTTCACTAGCCAAATTTTTGGCCATAATCCCTTAAGTTTGGCCGGCCAAGTGAAGGAAGGAAAGAGAAAAATGAAACCTAACCCTTGTACCTTTGTCTACTTTCTAAATTTACTCATTCAACTGTCCAAAATTATACTGACAGCTATTTTCTCCTGTATGCGGGTACTGGATGCTAGTTTGTATTGTGCTTGGAAATTCTTAAAATTAATGTTCTCAAGCTGTATCTGTACTAGAAATTCTTCCGTTTTAAAGTACGGTGAGAATTTATCGATCGAATTTACTTGATCGAAAAATTGTGAACTTAACGTGAAATCTGCTACAGAATTTAGGAATGCAGATGTTAATTCCATAAATCCTTTAATCACAAAATGTACATAGTATAATGATTTTCCAGGAAAATCCTTGACTTGAATACATGAATTATATTATTAAAATTATGGGATTTTTCTTGGTCACTACAATGTTAGTGCAAAATTAGGACCATGATTTATAGACTAAACTGATTGACAAATTGCCGAACTCTTATGTAACTTTTTAGGTAGATTTCACGAAATTACTTTAAAGCTTAGTGGAACTTATTACCCAACGTCACCATTAGCGTTAGGAGAACTTTTAAGAATGACTATTTTATTTAGTGAATTTAAGACACACGAGGTTTTAGGAGTTCTTATCGCTTCTATAGAAAAGAAGTTTAAAAAAAAATATTGGGTTAAATTACCAGTGTTGTATGGTTTCAGTGTTATTTTTTATCATAGATTAAAATTAGAAGGTTTAGAAAGTTGATTAGAAAACTTAGGTGACTTTTTAGATATCGACTGTTCTGACCAATTTTCTATTATAAAGGGAAAAATATTATCTCTCTATAGCTCTTATGAAAGTAGGTTTAGAAACCCAACTCGTGTAGAACAACCGCAATAACGAGACGACAATTTGCATTCATTCTTGAATGTTTTCGGGTTGAAGAAGATGACGACAACTACTGAATGTCAAGAAGAATCTGGGAGTGGATCTTCATCAAGAGGCGGCGGCAACATCGGTGGCTTCAGCGAGTTAATGGCGTACCTGAGTGAGGCCTTAGTAGTCGACAATAGTGAAATGTTTGATTTGATTCAGTGGTGGAGGACACGAGCATTAACTTGGCCGATCATAACTCGACTGGCAACAGATATTTTTTCGATCCCAGTATCCATTATTTCAGCCAAACAAGCCTTCAGTACGACCGACCGAATACTTGAAGAACGTAGAAACGCATTGCAACATGACATTGTTGAAGCTTTGGTGTGCATCAAGGATTGGGATCGTTCCGACCAACGCTTACACGATACAATTTCCCCGGCAAGTCAAGAATGGATTGACGAATTTAATATATTAACTTTTAATTTTGAAGACGATCCTTCAACTTCAAATTAAATTCTATTATTGTAATTTGTAAATATTTATTTACTTTGAACAATGTTATTGTAATCTTGTATAGACTTTGTAAGTTCGTCAAATTTGTAATTCGTCCCAGAATGATTGCACTCTTTTTTCCTTACCAAGTTTTTATCCCAATTGAATTTTTCTTGATAAGGTTTTTAACGACGTAATCATGAATTATAAATTTAAAAATTAATAAATTAATAAATTTTTTATATAGTTCGTGTTCATTTTAAATTTCAAATTGTAATATCTATTTTAATTTTTGTCTAATTTTTACAATAAATAATTTAAAAATCATTTATATACATACCTAATAAACAAAATTATATATAATAGTATATAAATATATTAAAAAATTTCGGGCACCAATGGCGGGTTCGGGCTGCCCAACTGGACTCGAGCAGCCAAAACCTACACGAAGCCCGTCCATGGTCTTCTTTGGGTCGGGTCGGGCAGCTCAAAAATTCAGGCTCGGTCATCGGGTAAAAATTTAGAATTTTCGATGATCGCGGGCAGTCTGTCCAAAGTTTCAACACTATAGATGACCATCGTTAAATGTTGAGTTATGAAGTGTTATTTATGCCACATGCGGACGAGTATAGGTGTTGAAGCAAAGCTGATAATAGGGTTGGGTCGCTGTTGGTCGTGAAGCATTTTTCACAATGTCAACCTTTACTTTAGCATGCTATTTGTTTTAGAGCCTATTTAGAAGGTATACTCAAATTATGATTATTAATTTTGGTGTTTAAAATTTATATTTTTTATGAGAGAAAAATATTATAGTAGAATTAATAATTTGAGTTTGAATATATGAAACAAACGGACTTTTAGTATGTTTAGGGAGATGAGTCGTTTAGTGGTTGCTAATAACCTTTTAGTCATTTTCTTCCACTAGTGCCGGGCCCCGCTCTCACTTAATCATAATTCACATATTTTAAGATAGTTTTTTTCTTTTTGAGAATAAAGTTAGAGAGTTTCTCCCGTAGGATCAGAAAAAAAATAATTTTATTTTTTTTAGTCGTCATATTTGTATCTGTATACTTTTTTAATCTCATTTGATTTTAATCAAATTTAACAGTCAGAAAACTGATTATATCGATAGAACGGCTTACCAGAGACAGTCTCATAAAATTAAAAATAATTGTATTGTAAAGTTTTTACGAGAATTTCTCTACTAATAGAGCACAATTTAGTTGTTGAATCAAGTGTGTTTACATTATCATATTTTTGAACATATTATAATTAATATTCCTTAAGAATTTTTTTTACAAGTTCAAGTTCATATATAACTCTAAACAGTGCTCTTTTCAAAGTCATTATTGGTATAAAATTTTTTGTTTATCATATGAGATCACCAGATCTGAAATTGAAACCGGAGAACACATGCTCTCTGTTTTTTTTTTTTCCTTTTTTTTTGGTGTAAAATTAAAGTTGGAGAAGAAATATGCATGCCTTCAATGGACAACACTTTGGGTTGAAAGTAATTTTATTTTTCTACCTCTTGTAATTTGTTATTTAACTTTCTCTATAGAAAAATGACCATATTTAAATCCTCTTAACGACAATATCATTGTAACCTACGCCTACCATATTCTTTTTTCCACTTTTTATTTGTTTTGTTTTCCCAGGAATAGTCATCGGAATCTACTACACCGCTTTAATAATAGGATTTTTATGTTTCTTGGTTTCTAAATTACACCAAAACCCAACAAAAGCTTAATAGTAAAAAAAATAAATAAATAAAAAGAAAGAATCATAAATAAATCATAGCGTAAGGATGCTGTAATTATTCTAGTTTAGTATCCTTGACGAAATCTGCTAAAAAGCTATCTCTTGCTCCGTCATTTTCTTCTTCCCCTCCATTATCAGCACCGAACCAAAAAAGAAAAGGAAAAAAAAAAGTGAGAGAGAAAGAGAGAAGGAAATCCCAGAAAAGGAGAGAGATCACAGAGAGAGAGAGTACCAGGAAAGTGTGGAAATTTCATAGCTGTTTGAGACCGAAAGCATGTATCTTTGAACGGACGATGAAGAAGTGAGACACTTGTTTTAATCTGCTCATGAAGATTTCGCTTTGAATCGGTGAGATTCATGCTAATCCGGATTCCAGATCGCCCGTTCCTGCATTGATTCGCGATTTATTCGTAGTTTTTCTTTATTCGTCAATTTCCAAATAGAGAGAAGTGCGTGTATATTTACCAAATTGCCAATGAACGGCGGCGGGGAAGGGGCATCGGCTTCGGCGGCGGCGCCGCTGGAGTGGAAATTCTCCCAGGTGTTCGGAGAGCGTACGGCGGGCGAGGAAGTTCAGGAAGGTAAGTCTTTACTGTTTTCGATTTGTTTTAGGGATTTGTGGATTTCGTTTTCGGATGTGTTTTTGTTAATCGATTTCGCTGGCGAGGTCTGTTTGCGCATTGATTAGAAAGAAACGTAATGCGAGAATCGGATTTTGTGCAAGAAATTATTGAATTATCATTTATGGCTTGGCCTGGGCACATCAGTTATAATAAGGATTACCTCGCTCGGTGATTAGTTTGTCTCCTATATCTTGCAAAACAATGTAGTTTGTATTAATTTCTCTATCACTGTCGATTTGTTTTGCCTGAGATAAGAATTGCTTTAAACTACACGTGACCTATGTTTACACACACACACACACACACATAGATATATATATATATATATATATATAACACATGCCATGTTGTTGCTGACGCCAGGGGTGAAAAATTACGCAAAAAATAATATAATTGAAAAAGAAGTTTGCTCAATTTGGTTCCACAGCATATAGAAAGGCACCAAACGACATTCACATAACTGTTTTACATATATATATATATATAATATAACAATTGGTACTAGTCTACTGGGTTAGAATTAAGCAGTCAATTTATATGGAGGAACGCAAGTGAAGAAGGTGATTGGGCAGATTTAGAAGGACTGCAACTAAGAAACACTTTGATGAAGTCAAAGTGGGAAATTACTTAGGTCTCAGGCATGCTTGCAGTTATTTTTGCTCTGTGTAGCTTTCATTCCTGTTCCCATATGAAAAATTTTCTTCCTTTTTACTTCCTTGATGATCAATTACTGTTTTGCAAGTCAGTGTATTGACATTGGTAAAATGCTACTGTTCCTCGGATTTTTGTCATTTTATACAAATTTCCGGCTTTTGCTCCTGCTTGGCATTTTGGCATCACGATTTGCATTATGTTACTTCACTTAGCTGAGACGTTTATGATGTATTGATCATCTATATTAATATGCACTTTAACGAGAGTGGCATGACCTCAACTCTTAAGTATTTTATTTTCCTTTTTTTCAAGTCAGTGGATAATAAAACTTTAAATAAAAGTTCTTCCTTTTCCTTTGTCTTTGCTCATTTCCTCGGTGTTTTTACTTGCAAATCCTTTTATAATTAACCTCAGAAGTTTGAGCTTAAGTAAATGAATTAGGTGAATTCTTGTAGTTTCAAGTGCTAGATGATTTCACATTAGGTGTGTCCTTTTAAATTACGAACAAGAGTTGCTTGGTGTTTGAGATTGTACATATTCAGTTGGGTCACTGCATAAATAACCACTCAGTTTGTTTACCTGTTGAATCTTTTATTTGCAGTTGACATCATCTCTGCTATTGAATTTGATCGAGCTGGGGACCACCTGGCTACTGGAGATCGTGGAGGTCGGGTCGTTTTATTTGAAAGAACAGATACTAAAGATGTAAGTTTGGTAACTAATTTTTTACTTTTTTGTTAACCTGCCTATTATTCTGTTTTGCTTCCCATGTTTTCTTGCTACAATGTTGTAATATTTTCTCTGTTTGGACATATAATATCTAGCATGTTGGGGATCGGAGAGATCTGGAGAGGATGGATTATTCAATGAGTAGGCATCCTGAGTTTCGTTATAAAACTGAGTTCCAAAGTCATGAACCTGAGGTATGATTTTTCCCTTGTCATATATGCTTACTGTCTACTTTTTACTTTCCTTGCTAAATCTGAAACGTGGTAATTTGGCCCCTTTCTTGTCTGTTTAAACCCAGTTTGACTATCTTAAGAGCTTGGAGATTGAGGAGAAAATTAACAAGATTAGATGGTGCCAGACAGCTAACGGAGCCCTATTTCTTCTTTCAACCAATGATAAAACCATCAAGTATTGGAAGGTTAGAAAAAGCCTCTTCTTGGTTTTGTATCTTTCTTTGGACAAACAATTCAGTTGCTCCCAATGTTTTACTTTCCAAGCCTTCAAAGTTCAATTTAGATATGTTCCTATCAAATGCATTTTATTTTATTGTTAGTGGAACAAGTTTTATGCAGACAAAATATAAAAGATTTTGTATGTAACATATGCAATCGTTAGTGGAAACAGGTTGATGCTACGACATATTCTGGAATAAGAGTGAAGTTTGATGCTTTTGTAGGAATATTTATGTTGGGGAGAGAATATTGCCCAAGATGTGCTCAATATATGAAATGTGTCATAATAACGGCTGAAACTGTCTCTACTTGCATGGAATAACAACAGTAGTCTGCATTAGGCAATTAACTCATGAACTTTGTCTTACTTTTTTGAATTCTTTTTAATTATATATATTTTTATGATATATGATGGATGAATTTGAGCTTATTCCAATAAGTTCTAGCATCACCGTGGATACACCTGTACATGCAGTGTATAAAATTGACTATTGCTTGCTACTAATGATATAATGAAAAATGCATAGAAACTTTCTAACACAGTGTGTTTTTGTTCCACTGTTTTTATGTTTGGCAGATCCAGGAGAAAAAGGTTAAGAAAGTATGTGAAATGAATGTGGATCCGGCAAAGGCTATGGGAAATGGTCCTGTTGTTGGCTGTGTATCAACAAGCTCCAAACCGTATCTTGCAAATGGTGGGTGCAAAGAAAGAAGCATCAGTTACCCGACCAATGATACTTCATTTCCACCTGAGGGTTACCCATCCCTAAAATTACCCACGGTAGTTGTATTCATTCAGAGTTATCGATTATTGGAAGCATATGATTCTATGATTAAAATTTTGGTATTTAACTTTTTTTAGCTCTAATACTTTGTTCATTTGCGGCTTCCAGGTGACGCATGAGACGAGTCTTGTGGCTAGATGTCGAAGAGTATATGCCCATGCTCACGACTATCATATCAATTCCATTTCAAATAACAGGTGCGTCCAGGCCTCCACTTTTTCCTTTTCTCCCCATCTCTTTTGCTTTTTGAATGTTTCATGTGCCTTTAATATTAACAGTATAAGGAACTATTTATGCAAAGAAAAATGGTTATAGCTTGAATATGAAGTCTTTTCCATGCACATTATCTCCGCAATCCACGTTCTTCTGCTTAATATTCTTTTCATTCACAAATCACTTTCTTTTCCTGTCTGTTTTGCAGCGACGGTGAAACTTTTATATCAGCTGATGACCTCCGAATTAATCTTTGGAACTTAGAAATTAGCAATCAGAGTTTTAATATCCTTGATGTGAAGCCTGCAAACATGGAGGATCTAACTGGTAGGAACACAACACTCTGAATGTACTTGTGTGCTTCATCTAGTTTTTTCTTCTTTTCTTCTTTTTTCTTCCCAATTTTAATGTAAATATTAGACGTGTGGATTAAATCTTGTTCCTAACGTCTGGTTCTCCATCTATCTTTGTATATCTGTCTTTCTCGTTGTTTTAATTTGTGCTTTTCTTTCCTTCCTATTCTCACTGTCTTTTTGGTGAACAGGAGCCACTTTATGTTTCGTTCTTCTTGCCTTAGATTGTTGGAACGCTTTGTTTATGTTGTAAATGGATAATTTTCCTTGTTTCTGATGTTTGTTTAGGGCAAGTGCTTCATATCTACTTATACCTGAATTAATATGTGCAGAGGTGATAACTTCAGCGGAATTTCACCCTAGTCATTGTAATATGTTGGCATATAGTAGCTCAAAGGGCTCAATCCGACTAATTGATATGCGGCAGTCAGCTTTATGTGATACTCATAGCAAATTGTAAGTTCAGGCTGCCCACCGTCCTTTCTTTTTGTTAGAAAATTGTAGATTTGAGAGTTCTTGGGTTGCTTTCACTCATTTGACTTTGCTTCTTTTTTCAATAACTATCTCTTAAATGATGCAGATTTGAGGAACAGGAAGCACCTGGTTCTAAATCATTTTTCACTGAGATCATAGCCTCAATTTCAGACATTAAGTTTGCTAAGGATGGGAGGCATATACTTAGCCGTGACTACATGACTCTCAAGGTTTGTATTTTTGTAATATTAGGTCCATTGTATTTCTGTAATGACTTATCCACGATAACTATTTCATGTGTAAAAGGACCTGATGGCTTAATGGAATGTATGCTGCAGTCGAATTTTTGAAAACCCAATGACTTTGCACGTTGAGTTTGGCTTTTATTTTGCTGTTCAGTGGGTGCTTCCTCTGAACTCCTTTGTACTTTCTTTTTTCTTGGCTGTTTCTCTTGCAACATGTTTGCTAGCAAAACAAACAAATGAGTAACTCTAATTCATAGTGCTTCATTATGTACTCATAGCCATATAGGTTTTCAGCAGTATAGTTACCATGGATTGTTGCTCAAACAAGGGCCATTTCTCTTCTCTCACGTATTTGTATTTTTCTCCAGCTTTGGGACATCAATATGGATTCTGGTCCGGTTGCAACTTTCCAGGTTCACGAATACTTAAGACCAAGGGTAATGTATTCTTACTGAAATTCTTTTAATTTTAGATGATAATGAGGCAGGCATCTTACATACCATACACCATAATTTATCTTGCTGTTACCTTGGCCAGCTGTGTGATTTATATGAAAATGATTCTATCTTCGATAAATTTGAGTGCTGTTTGAGTGGAGATGGACTTCGAGTGGCGACAGGTTCCTACAGGTTTGCTTTATATACACATGTGCTGTTGACGGATTTTGGTGCTTGTTGTTAGTGTTGAAAATCTTAAAAAATGTTGCATAATGCAGTATATTTTATCACAAGTGTTTTCTATTATTTCAGCAATCTGTTCCGTGTGTTTGGTCGTTCTGAAGGTAGCACAGAGTCGACCACATTAGAAGCCAGCAAAAATCCTATGAGGTATATATTCTAAAGATGGATATAATAATTAGTCTAGGTTTGATGAGAATGGCGGCAACTGAAATTGATCCCATCTAAAAAGTGATAGATAAAGAATTACAATTTCATATTGCATGGTTTCATACTTTCTTTATGAGTTTAGAAGAATTCTTATCGAGTGTTTTCTCTTAACTTGATGCGATCATCTTTTGTCATCCAATTTTAGGAGACAAGTTCAAAACCCATCAAGGTCTAGATCTCTGGGCACCCTTCCCCGTGTTCTAAGGCGAGGTATGTCCTTTCCTTGTGCATGATTTTTACATATGGTGTAGCCTCTGAAAGATTTGATGGACATTGGCTGAATTTGTATTCTGTCGTTTTTCTGATTACATCAGTTCTTATTGTGTATTTAATAATTTGTTTACATACCTTTTCTTTCATTTTAATGATATAATCATAAAGGTGCGGATACCTCTGGAGCTGACGCGAACGGAAATGCTTTCGATTTCACGACAAAGTTGCTACATCTTGCATGGCATCCGACTGAGAACTCACTTGCATGTGCTGCTTCAAATAGCCTTTACATGTATTATGCATAGAGACGGTTTCTGGGACGTCGCACTTTTTTGGTGGTGGGGAGGAGAGCTTTTGGAACAGGCGGGTTACCTTCTGCCCTTATAGTGATGTGGCAGCTGCCAATTATACCAGAAACCCTGCAATCCCTTAAGACTAACTTTCCTAGATCAGGATACCATTTCGCCAATGTAAAATTTTTGAGAAAGAAACTAAGCCTCTTTCTCCCAGTCAGGCTCAACAGAATGTGATCCTTGCTCAACTGGCAATTTAAGAAGGCTGTGCTTGTAAGTGCCGCGAAGGTTCAGATCGATGGGGTCCTAGCATGGGGCTGGAAGAATTAGTTGCTGTGGTGCTTCAGTTCTCATTGATACTTGGGCCTTTCAACCTTGTATTATTTGAACTTAGTATGAGCGGTTGCCAAATTCTGTCATGATTTTTGTCCTCTTTTCTCTGCCTAACCATTCTTTCCACTCCTTTCAGAATTTGCTGATTTGTTATGATCTTTTGCCACCATGTTACCTTTGGGATTGAAGTAGAAGGGGCTCATGCAAATCATTCTTTCAACAGTTTTACTTGGAAACCAAGATTCGTGGGTTTAAATTAGTTCTTTTTTCTGGGTTTTTAGTTTTTAATTAATGTTTGTTTTAAGGCAGCTGCCATCTCCATAAGTCGAAGAAACATGGTACGTGGAAGCTTGGTGTACTTTTGTTGAATAAAATGATTATAGTTACTTTTCTTTTGTTCCTTTCCTGTCGTCTGCTTTGCCGTTTTGCATATTTCTCGTCTTCCCCATTGTGCTGAAGTGGTGGAGTTTTACATCAATTGTTTACTTTATAAAGAATTTTGCCTGCTTCATTTCTTGGACTGTTAACAACTTTTTGTTTCTCTGATGCTGGCCATGAGTAATTTAACTTGCATTTTCACCTCGTTACAATAAAAATACCTGGTAATTTGATTTACAAATCGAGTATTACTTAAGAGTTAAGAGTGTGTTTTTCGGGTAACAATGTCAAATTTCAGTTCGGGATACAATAGCTTTAAACTATACGACAATATTTTAAAAACAAGATGTCATTGGTTTTCCCGGAAGTAGGACATAATATGGAAAACGAAAGTTTAGTAAATAGCGATATCAATTTGAAAAGGACAATATTATCTAACCAAAAACGACAAGGACATAAAACCAAGATAAATTAAACCGCAACAACGACAACACGTAAAACCAAGGATAATAGAAAACGACCATATTCAAAACTACAAGAACGACAGTGTTTAAACAAAACATAGTACGACAACCATGAGACAAGAACTTCTAAGGAGTTGTTTGGTACATGTATTCAAACAAATTATGAGTCCTAAAAATACCCTTTATGCTTTTTTTTCCGAAGTACAAGAAACAATAGAAACGACACTAGAATAAAACAAAGACTTTATAGCTAAAATTACGTTTGTTTGGCTAAATAATTAAATGATTAAAATTATGGTACATAAAACGAACGGTAACAACCACATTATAAAGTATAAACCGACATTACAACCTTAAAACACGAGAACATAAATCAACGACAATAACTTGAAATCAACGACAACAAATGAAGTGGACAACAAAAATTAATAAAAATAAAAAACGACAACAAAATTGAACGTCTCCAAGTATAGAGGAACCACAACAAATCAACCTCTCTCTCTCTCCATCCCATAGTTCAACAACACCTCGTCGCATCAGCATCTCTCTTCCGTTAGCGGCAGGAGCCATGGCTCTCATGACCCGAACATCGTCGCGGATTCCCCTCCAGCTCGCCGCCCAGCGCGCCCTCCCCATCCACACCACAGCTCCTTCTCTCTCCTCCGCCGGGACAGGCGGCGGAGGCGCTCCCACCACCTACGCGCGGCCTCCGCCGCCCTCGGCCTCGTCGCCGACTGGGCTGTCCAAGACGGCGGAGTTCGTCATCTCGAAGGTCGACGATCTGATGAACTGGGCCCGCCGTGGCTCCATCTGGCCCATGACCTTTGGGCTGGCCTGCTGCGCCGTCGAGATGATGCACACCGGCGCCGCCCGCTACGATCTCGACCGATTCGGGATCATCTTCAGGCCCAGCCCACGCCAATCCGACTGCATGATCGTTGCCGGCACTCTTACCAACAAGATGGCCCCTGCTCTTCGCAAGTACGCAATCCCCACTCTTTCTCTCTCTTAGGGTTTTCATTTTAGGCCTCTAGGTTTTGGTAATTGATTATCCCTTATAACCTTCGTGCTTTCGCGCGCCAATTTGATTCGATTATAGAAGCAAATACATATATATATTTTTTTTCGGTGCTTGGAGTGATTGATAAGATGAGCTTTGCCTAATTTGATTCCTATTCAGCAAGTTTAGTAGTAGTTATTATTATTTATTTATTTATTTTGTATTTTTGTTTTCTTCACCGGTTGTTTTGTGACCCAACAGTGTGGATATTCAATCTTGGCTCAATTGAGCTTTTTGAGTGCTCTAAGCGGTTCTTGTTCCCGAGTCTAAGTAAAGATTTTCTGGTGACCATGACCAGGATGTACCGAGATTGATTTTGGTCTTTTTGACGTTTATGTCAGCTTGCTAATTAGCAAAAGGGAAAACCCTTTCTTCATCGAACTTTGTTTGGTGCTATAGGCTCTAGTTAGTATCAGATTTCAGTTTTTTGTGTGAAGTATATGAGTTTATGAATCTACAGGTTCAGAGTTGCTTCACTTGTCAAGGTCTCGGTTTTTCCATTCATACTTCATAACCTTCATAGCTAGAAGCAAGCTCGAAACTTTAAGCTTCTGCTTGGCTTGTTGGGTTGGTGTATGGAAGAAATTTCAGACAGATGTAATTTCACTCATGTTTGAACAAGGGCAAACTGTCATTGCCATTTTCAAATTTGTGTTCTTTGATTAGGAATTGGGATCTTTGACTTTGGTTGCCGGAGCAAGGGCAATGACAGATTTGTGTTCTTTGATTTGGGAGAGATATCCTTTTGGTCTCATTTCTTGGAATGTTTGAGCAGACAATTTGTTTGATTTCCCTTTCTTATACTAATTCCTAATCTTGGCAGTCCAAATTTGATTGGAAGTTACGTGGGGTGACAAGTTTTGAGTTGTTTTTACATATGTATTATGTACGCTGTCTAGTTTATGACAATTTTTAAGCTTATGCATATCTATGCTTTGTAGTTTGCGTTTAAAAGATATATAGGCTTCCATTTGGTAGGTTTTTGGACACTTCTTTATTTTTTCTTACAGTGAAAGAAATTTAAGTTGGCAAGTTGCAATTTACTTCTAATCACTCCTGCCTACTGCCTAGCTTATCCGATCAATATGTTTTTGCACTCCTAATGTGCTGAGGGAAGAAGGACGTGTAACTTTTATTCACACCATTCTAAATACTCTTTGCAGGGTTTACGACCAAATGCCTGAACCTAGGTGGGTGATCTCGATGGGAAGCTGTGCAAACGGTGGAGGATACTACCATTACTCATATTCTGTTGTCCGGGGTTGTGACAGAATCGTCCCTGTTGATATCTATGTTCCCGGTTGCCCTCCTACAGCTGAAGCTCTACTCTATGGGCTTCTTCAGCTACAGAAGAAGATCAACAGGCGCAAGGATTTTCTTCACTGGTGGACCAAGTAAGGGCCTTCTAGTTGTATTGGCACATATTTGGCTATATTTTTATGCAATAAAATAGTTCTGGGGTGGTTTGCCCTGGAAATGGGCTATGTAAAGCAAGATATCGTGCTTATGTCGCAATTTAAACCTCAGGATGTTCACTGTTATGTTTTACCCATATTTCCTGCTGCTAGCTGGAGCTTTCACAGTACAACTAAGATTATGTAAAACTTTCTCTTCGTTGTTTCCTGTTTTTGACTGAGAAGTGGGGACTTATTCATCATTTGTTATCTGTACTTTCTACCAGTTGCCTACAGTTTTGTTTATCCGGGATTACAAGGCGTTCTTAATTTTGCCTAGCTTTCAGTTTGTGGTTTGCATTATCAAACTTGCTGGTTCAAGTTTGGTTAGTAGTGGTAAATGTTGTACTGTGCATGTATGAAAACATTTTTTTTTTCAATTATTCACGCTGTGCTTGTGGGTTTAGCCTAGCGGTAGTTCTACGCTTGTCTTAATATTGACATACTGAATTTAAATTCTTCCACCACCTGATTTCAATATATTTTTCTTGCAGATTAAAATCTGCAGAACAATTTGAGAATTACAAATTTGTCATTATAAATTTGTTCTCTCACATTTTGAGAAGTTACATTGTACACTAACTAGAAGTAATTGAAAAGAAACAGAAAAATACTCCTTATTCATTAGTATCAACAACCTTATTCTCTAGTATTAACAACTGTTTTAACTATTTTTCTTTATTGCAGTAGATTTTTCTTTTTAATTTTAAACTCACTATTTTCAGGATAGTTAAATTAGAACATCAATCAACCATTTCATTAGAAAGGTGTTATTTAAATGGGAAATTTTCATATTCTACCTTTTTCTGTGGTTATTAAATAATTGTACTATCTGTGCACTTTTGTACCTATAGATTGTCAATTTATCAACCATTTCATTAGGAAGGTGTTATTTAAATGGAAAAGTTTTATATTCCACCTTTTTCTGTGGTTATTAAATAATTATACTATCAGTGCACTTTATATATACACTAAAGGAAAAAAAAAAAAAAAGGTACACTGTTCACACACTCACAATAACATGTTTATTGTACTGTAATATTCTTAAAATTCTACTTCTGTCTCGTCTTTTGGGTGTGAATTGTCAATTTTACTCTTTTTTCTTCTTTTTTTCCTTTCCTGCGCATGGTCTTTTACGTATTTCGTTCTATAATTGTCACGTGTTGACGCCCGGCTGACTAAAGGAAAAAGTGGTGGGGTCCACCACTGCGAAGTTACCCTCTTCCCCAGCTAAACGCGCTTCTCTTACGCGTGTTTTTTACGCGCGAATCACAGCCGTGGAAATTTTTTATTGGAAAGTTTCAAACCATTTTCAGTTTATTTTTTAGATTTTTATTTTTTATTATAGTTATTTACTATTTTGATTTGATTTAGAGTTTAATTTTGTCCGTTTTACCACCGTTTTGTGTCAAATTTTTTATATTATTTAAATAAAAAACCATAAATAATACAATAAAATTAAATAAAATACGCTAAATTAAAATCAAATAACACCAAATTAAATAAAAAAAATAAACAAAACAAAATAGAATTAATTTAAAACACAACGAAATAAGTTAGTTTATTTTTCCGCTCTCTTTGCTTAAGATTTTCCTCCTTTATTATTTTCATTTCTTTTATATCGTCTTTTTTACCTCTTTGTTTTTTAAAATAGTTTATGTTAACCGTTATTTTAAATTAATCATGTGTGTGTAGCGCGCGTTTGAGATTAAAACTAAATAAAGACTAAAAAAAAATTGAAAAAAAAGGTGTTGATTTGTGGTCCGATTTTATCCATTTCAATATCATTTTGCGCCAAATTTTTAAAGCCTTTCAAATGATAATAGTATAAATAATTTGAATGAAAAATAAAATTAAATAAAAATACACTAAAATAAAATAAGTCACCTTTTGAAATAAAGTAAACTAGAAATTACTTCAGTGGTTGGAAGAGTAGCACAAGTATTGATCAAAAAATCATGCTTTACATTAACAATTGATGAAGGTTTTACTAATCCATTTGTAATTCCATCAATCATTGCTCAGTTAAAAGGACAAAGAAAAATCTTGCAAGTTTATTTTCAACAAAGGAGAGCACAAATAACTACAGTTGTTTCAAAAATATTTGAAGATGCCCATCTTCCAATACCACTACCACAAATATAGCTGCCACAACAATAGTCCAAAAATACCAGATTTAAAAAGATTGACCACAAGGTAAGACATATTTACTAATTTATATCAATTATCAATAAACTCAACATTTACTATTTTGAATACATATCTTAACAATCTTTAATCAATTCAGTTCTTAACCAAAGCAACAGACCTACCCATAAACGTCCAAGGACCAGATAATATAACTATTTCTAAATCCTTTGATTTATACTACATATAATTAAAGATTTTCAACTTCCTTAATTATTATTATTAATTTTTTTAATATTTGTATTTTGTAGTTAAAAAGAACAAAAGTGTAAGAAACTTTTAACTATATATATATATATAAATATATATGTATATATAAACTAATCTTATATTATAAAAATTTCTAATTTTTTATATAATACAATACTATTTCTTGCAGCAACACGTAAGGGCTGTTCGGGCATAGCATTCTTGAGTGAAAAACTCAAAAAAATGTAACTTGAGTTACAACTTTATTCGAGTTCATGTTCTTTTAAGTTTGAACTCGAGTTTGAACTCGAGTTTGTGACTAAAACTCGAGTTGGCTCTGTTCATTTCACCGATTCGAGTTTAGAATTTGAGTTTTGCTACAGTAAAAAGCTCTTATAAACAGTCACATCTAACTTTTTTACTACAGTAAAACACATAAAATCACATCTCAACTCGAATTAAAAACTCGAATCAGCGAACTAAACGGGCCCGAAGTTTCCCCTTCAACTCGAGTTCAGAAACTCGAACTCAAATTAATGAACAATATTTTTTTTTTATTCTTAAAAATGCTATAACTTTTTCGTTTTATTTCTGATTGAGATGATTTTTTTCTATGCGTTGACAACGAAAAAATGAATAAAACCCCACCCATATACCCTATTAAAATTTTTCATCAGCATTGAGTTTTTATTAAAATACTATATAAATACAAATTCAAGTTTTGACTCACTCAAACACAAACTCAAAAAGATTCTTATCTCAAACTATAATTCAAATATGCACAACCAAACACAAACTCAAATTATAACTTCAACTCAAGTTATAACTCAAACTCAACTCAAAATCTACACTCAAATTACCTAACTCAAAAACGTCAAAAGAACAAACCCGTAGACTTATACTTATAGGTTGTCAATGTATGCTCTGTTTATACTATTTGTTGGTCAACTATTCATTTTGATTAGTGAATTTCGAATAACACTTTTATCAGAAATCATAAATTATGTTTTATCAATCAAAAAGAGTATTCTCACGTCAAAATAGAGAGTTGGCGATAAATGATTTATATTAAGCATTAATTGGTAATTGGTAATATTATGAAGACATGAAAGTGCAAAAACTCGAAATGCAAGGACAAACATGTAAAAATCTCTATTTAAATTAATAAGTAATTTAATTCAGAAAAAATAAAACATAAAACACTAGCAATTTTTTTTTGCACACCCCTTTCTATTTTTTACACGCCCCTTTTTAATATTACTAAATTACTCATTAATAAAATTAATTTTAAGGACAATATTATTTTAAATGATTAATTTCATAAATGTTCTCTGAAATATGTATATTGTTTTAAAGTGTCACTTGATTTTTTAAAATGATTCAAAACACCCTATAATATATAGAAAATAGTTCAAAATCCCCCTTCCGTCTATTTCCATTTATTAACTTAACAGTTTTGTTAACATTGTTAAAGATTAATTAAAAACATTAAATAATTTAATCTAAATAAAACACTAAAAATTAAATTTTTTTTTTTAAAAAAACCTCAATTATGTTATACCTGCTCACCCCTCCCCTTCCCTAATGGCACCACTAGGGTTGTACATGGGTTGGGTTGGGGCGAGGTAGGACTCTTTTTTATCATGCCCTAAAAGGTGCGGGTTGCACATATTTAGCCCTAACGATGTTAGAAAAATTTCACAATCTAATGATGTTTGGGTTGGGGCGGGGCGGGCGGGGTGGGTTGGGTGGTCGGGTTCATCATTCAAAGAATCAAAGTTCAATCCAATATTTAAAGGACCCGTTTAGTTCGCTAATTCGAGTTTTTAATTCGAGTTGAGATGTAACTTTATGTGAGAGCTTCTTACTGTAACAAAAAAGTTAGATGTGATTGTTTATGATAGCTTTTCACTATAGCAAAATTTGAATTCTAAACTCGAATCGGTAATATGAACGGGGCCAAAGTTCATCATCAAATAGAAATAATAACTCCAAAATTCAAAGTTCATCATCAAATAGAAATAATACTGATAATCAAACATAACTCCAACATTCAAAGTTCATCATCAAATAGATAGCAATTCAAAGTTCAATCTAACATCAAACATGAAGCAAAGTAGTCCATCCAACATTAAACATAAAGCAAACATAAATTAGAGGCTTAATTCAAATCCATCCAAAGCAAGCACTGCAACATCAACCATCCTTATCAATCCACACTCATAGGTTCCTTATCATGCATATTTATGTGGGTTTGGTTGGGGTGTGCGGGTTATTATAGGCCCAACCCACAAACCACCCTAAACACCTTGGGCCAAACATTTAGTAAGTTGAAAAATAAAAAATAATGCTATAAGTTGCCTTTTTCGGGTTGGGTTGGGTTGAGTTTGCGGCTTGTTCGGGTTTATGTACAACCCTAGGCACCACCACCATCGCCCGCTGGTGATCCAACACGCCCCACAATCACCCTCTCGACTCAACCCACCCCTTAATCCAGCGGCCCAGCTCCCACATCGATGACCAGACGCGTTGCCGCTGCTTCAGCATCACCGAAATTAGGTCCTATCCTCTGTCACCGTCCCTCTGTCTCTCATCGTTCTCTGCCCATCTCGTTGCTGAGCCTCAACCAATCGCGTATTTACTGATGACGATAGCGTCTCTATTATTAGATTTGCGACTTTTGTCAACCGTCGAGGACACCTCCCATCTCGCCGCTGTAGCGCATTCCCGCACAACCGTCGATGAACCCAGCTCATAGTACGAAGACTAGATCACCGATACTTCCAACTCCCCGCCAAAGCCTATATCCTGTGCTCACCGGAGAAGTCCAACTTAGACCACAAGGGGCCTTGGTGGAGAAAAACCTATATTTAGATGA